CCAGTCACCTAAAGTTCTGACTACCAGGTTAACCCTAGTGTACCCATAAAACCATTATAATACCTTGAAATTTCTAATAGTTTTAACATCTAAATGATGTTTTCCAGATTATTCCCCTGTCTTCCTGTACTCTCAGAAGAGTACATCTTTTCTGAGACCCAGTGTGTCTTGATTTATAGTTTAACATCTCTAAAAAATGTTCTCACTTGGATGGACAATTTACAAGATCTAAACCTTGTTGACAAACCAGCTGCACCATAATTCCACCCACACAGGTAGCTAAGCCTTAAAGTTCTCTTTAGTTCTAGGGATCCCAGCATCCTTTTGGTCTTCTTTCCTTCTTCTCCTCTCCAATATCCACTCACTGAGCCTAGCCCATTGTTTTCTCTGAACTAGTCTTGGATTAGGCTGTATCCTCTGTGGCTACTGCTACTCTTTGATTGATTAGTCCACAGATTTCCAAATCCAAAGACTGATCTTCTAGTTGTATTATCCCCTCATCAGGGTCAATGTTGATTTGAAAAAAATCTTTTCCTCTGGCACTGTTTAAATCATAGGTATTCACAGTCTGTTGATATTACAGTGTTTGCATCAGCAGGTGGTTTTGTACCAGCTCTTCACTGTCTGTTCGCTACATCCAAACTCCTTGCCATGGTCTTTAGGATTTTCTACCATTGTCCTATAGTACCAAGTTCATTGTTTATATTCTGCCTCAATGTGGAACTCCTTCAGCCAAGAGAGAAATGCCAGGCTGGCTTACCCTTCTACACAACCTGGCCACTCTCTCATCCATGCTTGTGTCCATTGTGTTCTACACACTGTGAGTGGCAACTTACTATCCATCTTCAATTTTTCCCTTCAGTTTTAACCTCAGCTCTATCTTTTCCTATTTCTTCTCAAACCCTTCCCAACCTTCAAGACATGTATTCCAGAGTAAATCTCTTATTTGCTGTTAGACTAGCCCTAAAGAGCAGAAGTTCCCAAATTTAACTGGAAATGAGCTTTATTAGGCTATGAACTTCTTCAAGACAAGGATCATGTCTTATTTAACTTTATAGCACCAGCATGTAGACCAGTGCCAGATACGTCATTTGAATGCAATAAAAATGGCATAAGTGGCCCTTTTCTTTCACCCAGAGTTGCCAGATGAAAGGAGACTTTCTTTGTACTAGGTAGAGAGTGGAACTAGGCACGTACTCTCCACAGCAGGTGTGTGGTGTCAATTTGCCAGCCATATACATCAATAGCACCACTCACCAGGCAGGAATTCAAGCAGGGTGAACATGGTGATTGGAGACAAGGACCCTTGGGAAGTAGAGGCATGAAGATTACTTATGCACAAGGATTATTACTGATTTTCGTACAAAAATTACTAGGCATTCTTTTCAGACTTCCTGAGCTGCCCATCAGCCCTCTGACTCACAATTGGAGGAATTAACCATAGATATCCCTGAGGAGGGAAGGAATGGAAAAAGAAATGGGAGGTTGCTTCTTAAGCCTCTTGGGAGCGTTAGTCTCTCCTCTGGGGAATGGACTCAAGTGTAACAGGTGAAGAGCTCTCTCTGTATTCATGACGGTCATGCCAAATTCAAGGCAGACCACCTCAGAATCTATCTGCTACAAATACCATCATATTTCCCAGTTGTAGGAAAGAGCCACAGTGTTTCCAGCCAAAGACTTGAGTTTGAGTCTTACCTACATGAACTGTCTGGCTTTGGGCACGATATTCCAGATGTCTGAGTGATGCAAGTATCACAAGAAATAGAGATGCACAGAGTGGTTATTCCAGAACTGCCTATAGCCACCCTGTCCCTCACTCTTCTGTACATCATCTCCTACCCACAAACCATTTCGGGGAAGGTTGTTTTTTAATGAGCTCACTTTTTTTAATGACCTCTCTAAGATTGATGCCTCTATCACGGGTATTTGAAGAAAGGGCAACACCATAAGCCAGAGGGGACAGCTTACTGAAATCCTGCAACTTTGAAGTGACATTTCGCTGTCATCTTCTCACCCCAACTCCCAGGCCTGCCCTAGCCACACCTGGGCTCTCGTTCCTTCACCTTAACTTGGTGGCATGTCACTTGACCCATTCGGGATCGTGGTTTGGCTTCTGCTCTGCTTGTGTAGTCCCTAACTGTTGTGGCCTGGGTTGGGGTGGGAGGGACACCCCAGAACTGTTCACACAGAAAGAGAACCTCAAAGAGTCCTACCCCACTTCATTTGGGATGTACATCATGGCAAGAAATGGTGCCATGCCCTGTGGCTACCACGGCCACAGCCTAACTGAGCACCCACCTGTGGTTCATAGCCAGTGGCAGCCTTGAAAACACAGGACCTGAGTCACTCCAACCAACAGAACCAGTGATTAAGGAGCCTCTTCTCTGAAAAGATGCCTGAATCTCTACCCCCAGCCCAATCACTTAGAGCTTTTGCTTTACTAAGACCAGAGGGACTATTTAGCATCAGTTTTAAATTGCAGCTTGTGACACAAGGAAAGTACACAGGCTTGGGAGTCAGAATGTCCTGGGTTGAAATTCAACTTTGCCATTCACTGTTTAGGTAACACATTGACAAACTGCTGGGTCTGGCTTTGGCACGTGTGAAATGGGGACACTGACACCTCTGCACAGTTGCCTTAAAGATTAAGCAAAACTGTACATTGCAAATTGCCCAGCCCTCATCAAGCACCTAACTCAGAGTGGCTGCTCTTTTTTTTTTGTTTCTTGCTTCCTTCTCACCAGAGAAAGACTAAATTATCTGAAGCATGGCTCATTTATAAGAGCTTTTTAAAAATCTTCCAAAAGGCCAATCATGTAGTAATTGAACAAGTTTCTGCCTGATTGTTTCCATTCAGACAGTAAGGTGTCCAGAATAAATAGATTCATTTGCAACATGGATCACCCCCATAGCAGGACTGCTTACAGTGTGCCTGACAGCTAATGCATCCCCCCAGCCCACCCCACACCAGCTTCCAGCCTCAGGTTTGAAGGAAAAGAGCCATCTAGTTTGTCTAGGACTTTTAGACACTGAATAAAGATTGTGTTGGAAACTATCATTCACAAGATTAAAACTATCCTTTTTCCTGGGAAGCTCTCACTGATAGAGAGGCTTGTTTTGATTTCCTCATTTATATTGAGACCAGTCATATGCACGCACACATATGTGAATGTGTGCGTGTGTGTCTCAGAAGTAACTAATCCCAACACAGCAGAATGATTTGGCTCAGTCTACAGCAGCCAGTCTAATCAGAGTATTTCATAGTGTATCTCCCGTCTTGCAGGTGTTTTTCCATCTTTGTAGATGGCTCATTCAGCCAGCCAAAATGATAAGCTCTACAGTCCCATTGACCCCCCTTGTTTCCTCAGGTACAGATAAAACTCAGAACACACGAACCTCAAAGGACACAGTGACTAGATTTTAAGAACCACTGCAAAAACTTATCTGCCACTTGCAATATAAATGTTATCATACCTTCGCTTTCATTTTAAAACTCTTCATATTTTAGGAGACTACAGTACCGTTAAAACTGAAAACATATCCAGACACAGCCAACACAAATTACATCTTACAATTATTTATGCAAGTTTCTTAACTTTAAAGCCACAAACCATTTCTACAATAATTACCACACTGCAAGTACATAAAATTTTAGTTCTGAAGGACAAGACTATATGCTTCTCTGTGATTTCATAGTGCATTGCTTTAAAAGCATTTCTACAGTTCAACCCAAAACACCCAACTTTCTAACTTCCAAGCAAAGACATCACAAAAATGAATTCTTCTGCCTGAAGTTCGTAGTAGTAACAGAAATAAAGGTCATAAGCAGCTTTAAATCAAATGTAATCATATTGTGCTGTTGAAGTGACTTTGCTTAGAGTAGCAACTGTAAATCCCAAAATTTCTGGGATTGTGTTGGTTTTGAATGCCCTGACCCATTACCAAGCTTTGTATTCAGACAAAGCTACCCATTTTTTGGTTCCAAGAAGATGTCTGCATAACAGTTCAATTTAAAGAGGCATTTGCACCTCAGAAAGGGCAAAAAAAAAAAAAAAAGAAAAAGAGAAAGAAGAAAGAGAGACAAAGAGAGAAAGTGGTAAAAGCAGTTCTTATAAAAAATGAAACGATGTGTCACTATCTCAACTTGTCTTTATTGAAAATAAAATTTTCTAATCTGTTTTCTTAGATCTGCAGTATCTCTATATAACATTGTTTCCAAGCTCAATTAGGAGGATTTTTATTTCACCCCCCATAAAACATCTCATTTTTATGCCCTTTGAGCACCCCAAGTAGGTTTATAATTAAGCTTGTGCTTAATTGAAGGAGTATAGATAAAATAACAATTGTTTCTCATTTCTAATTCCAATTTTCTGGAAAGACATTTAAATTGTTAATTTCTGGGTACCTGAAAAAAGCAAACAAGGTACAGATGCCTGTAATTTTTTCTATTTTTAGTTTTGGAATGAATCTTTTCTTACGGCAATTAAAGCAAATGAAAAAACCAGTACTTGAACACTTGCAGCAAAAGACTATCACTTGCTACTGAAATTGACATTGGATTAAAAAGCTAAGGTTTGAAAGTAAAATTATTTTGCTACTCTTTAAATATTTAAGCAGTTTTAAAATACAGTAGAAAATAAATACACGTATTTCCCTAATAGTGCACACCATTTGGGTGACATTCTGTATGCTCTTATTTTTGCCACAATGCGGATTTTTTTCCCATCAAATGAAAACCTACAGAAATAAACGCTGAAACAAATAGTAGATTGTTCCCCTCCTTCCCTTCTCATGCCAATGAAATACTTCAAGTGAACTGTTTTCTGATCACAAAAATCATGGTTTTTTTTTTAAAAAAATCAACAAGCAGTTATTTAAAAGAATACATGCTATTATTAAAAGTTAGCCAAGACCAACTAGTAAGACCTCAAAAATGAACATATTTCAAAGAATTTTGTTCTTTTCAAAAGTTGCATGAGTTTTTTTTTTTTTTTCTCCAGGAAAATGTGCAAATATCAAGGTTACCTGGGTCTGCTGGTCACTTCTAGTTTTTGGACTCTTGAAGATGGTGAGTTTTGCTAATGATACGCGGCCGTTTAGGAACCGGTGGCTTTTCTGGCAATCACTCTTTGTGTGCCATCTTTTATAAAGGTGCTTCTTGTTGCTAAGAGATCAGTTGCTTGGAGACCAAACCATTAAAAAAATATATATGTCAGGGGCCAACATAAATTATAACCAAATTTTGTCATTTCAGCTCGCCCTCTGAATGTTTCGCTTTTGTAATAGATCGTAGCGTACCAAGAGAAGCCAATTACTAATCACAAATAGAAAGCTGACCATGAGGAGGAGAAAAGATCTGTGTGTACGCTCCCATGAACAGAGAGTAATGCCATGCCTCCCTTCCGTGGAGGTACATCCTCGCTGGGCTCTCTGAAACTTCGGCTCCTCATGGGGGGGTCCTAGACAGACGCTGTAAATACAGATTTACACACACACACACACAGATAGCTGTCCCAGGGAAACTTGAGTGCAGGCTTGAGTATGAAGACATGACAATTGTGGAGCTACTTTATAGTCTTTTCCTAAGGAAAATTAAGAGAAAAATGCTATGCTTAGGAAAATGTAAGTTGGAAATCTGAAGTGATGTTAGCCTCCAGCCAGATGTTTTTATGTGTGAACACGATTGTCACTGCATCAGGTTCAGTTGTGTATACCCGGGGCTTACAGGGGTGCTTGGATAAAAATCTCTCTACCTTTTATTTTCTCTCCTGTACTGAGATATAGCATTAGCTGAGAGGGAAAATACAATCAGTTAAGTAAGGTAAGGTTTGGCTTGGGGGGAGGCGCCTTTCCCTTTTCCTGGTGTTACCACCCCTTGAGACCCTCCCCTCAAATTTACTGTCAGCTAAATACTGTCCCACATAGGGACATTTACATTTTAGGAATATATTTTTAAACGAAGGACTCAAGTTCCTTTAAGATTTAAGGGAATAGTGGCATTCCAAGCTTCTTAACAGGTAGGATGCAAGATCTTTTGGGGCAAAATAAAGCTGGATGTGACCCTCCACTGGATAACACCATAACACACCTCCTTCTGCATTTCTCCTTCTTCTGCCTCCCCCATTCTCCAAGGTCTCTGTGACTCTGTCCTGGGTGAAAAGCAAGCAAATAAGAGACCAACGACTTGGATTAAAATCAAAATGAGAAGTAGAAAGAGTACCTAGTGTCTTAAAGATGCGCGCCCTGCCTAGCCTCCAAAGTGCTTGCCATTCTAGAAGCCTTCAGGCCCCCAGCCTGATTCGGAAGGCATCCTGGAATGAACCCACTGCATAGGAGAGGGCAAGGTGAGACCTGGGGGCTGGGGTGGGAGCCCAGCAGGAGGATGAGAAGGTTCTCATTCCACTTTGTAGTGCTGGTCACTGTCAGATTGGCATCTACCGCCACACCCCCGGCTACAGAGTAGGTGGAAGACCCACAACCAGCCTGAATTTGAAGTAGAGACATATACCAGGAAAAAAGTGAAGAATGATGCCCTGTGTAAGTGGGATGTAGCTAAGGCTCAGAAGAAATTTCCTCAGCAAGAGGAAAGGAAACACTGACTTCCCCCAACCCAAGCTATGAGTCAAAATTGATGGAGACACCAATGACATCCACATTTTCTCTTAAAGTCTCTTACTTCTAATTCCCCAAATTTCTCTTTGTGGCTTATATTTTGGGCTAGAAATGGAAGCAGAAAGGAAAGGCTAGGAAGGAATTAGCGGTGGAAAGAGCAAGAGAAATAATAATGCCTGGGTACACAGTTGGTGCTGAGGACATGCTAGGTGAAGGAATGAGAGGGAAAAGAGAAGGCTGTGAACTTGGCTTCATGTTCCTTGAGGGCAGAAACTATCATATTCTCCTCTTTTCCCAATTCCAAGTATTTGCACAGGGCTTTTTAATTTAGAATGTGATTAAATGTTTTTGCTAATTTCAAAGTCAAAGGAGAAAGAGAGAGAGAAGGGATAGGTCTAAGGGGGTTGAACTGTTACTCCATCCTAAACCCCATGTGACTGGCTCCCTGCTTAAGAGCCCGCTCTGCTCACATTTGTACTTTGGTCCTAGATATAAAACTAAAAACCTGCCCTTCTTAGCTATCCATCCGGATCTCTCCATTTTTGGGGGCTCTGGTTTGACTCTTTCTGCCTTGAGGCCACTTGCCTTGGACTCTTAGCTTTGACCTCTAGGACATGAGGTCCTACACCTCCTTTTGGCCACTTCCTTCCTATCAGCAGGTGACTCGGGCACCATTCTGGCTACTAGTCCTTTGCAGGCTCCAGGTTCTCGTCTGCCTGGGTGGAGGTGGGGAGAGGCCGGGATCTGTGATGAGCCCTTGCCCTCACTCACTGTGCTGTGGAGAAGAAAACAGGCTTGGACCCATGAGGGCTCGGCTTACAAATGTTCCACCTTGAAGCTTGGAGAAAAAAAATTGGTACAGATGTAACTGCATCAAGAAACGCAGTCCAGCGTCATTTTGGGGCTTGCAGTGTGGCAGGCCACCTGTCCACAGGTGCCTGGACCACAGCGCTCCCACATCCTAACCCACCACTTCTAGAAAGCTGCCCAGTCCACACAAGCTCCATCTTCCAGTCTCAGGAATGGGAAGCCAGAACAGCAGGCGCCTGCCTCCTGACCGAGGAGACAAGACAGTGAGAGACAACAAGCTCCGGGGCATCCTCTGTGGAAGTGATTGCCACTGCAGCACCTCTTACTGGGGAAGCCACTGTCCCCTGATGCCACCCCAACAGAGCATCCACAGACCCTGGTGCTGTCTATTGCCTACTGCCCAACTGCTGCTTACTCCCCCAGGACTTGGCCTCTCCCAGTAGAAAATTCAGCAGACACCGTTTTTAGGAATACTCACACAGCCCCCTCACTATACAGCTCCTTCTAGCTTAGGAAGGACCCGGTCCTATTCCAGGAAGACTCCAGTGTAGTGACCACAACTCTATTTCTCCAGGAAACTGTTCCTAGAAGAGGCCGAATGGCCTGAAAAGAAACATGACTAGGTAAGAATAGAGGCTATGCCAGATGTTTGGGGCACTCTCTGGAGATTCCTAGGGCAGCAAGCATAGCTTATACTATACTTGCTGAATATAAGTGTGTAAGACACTTGTACCAAGCTCGGCCAGTATCACGCAAGGGAGCGTTTTCCAAGCCCTTTCGGGGGCCATGTGCTGGACAGAAACCTACTCTGAAGAGCCAGAGCACTGCAAGCAGGAGAGGAGGATTTGCCTGGAGAAGTCACATCCAGACATTCAGCCCAGCAGCTCCTATGGAAGAGCAGGACTTGAGCAGCAGGGGGCAGCAAAGTACAACCGCCTCCTTCAGCTGAGCCCTAGGGCAGCCTTGGGAGGCAGGTGGTGAGGGGCGCGAGAATCAGCCTTCCAGGGGACAGCTAGTAGGCTGGTCAGAGGTACTGCAACCAAGCTTGCCCCTTGTTGGTTGCCTCTCTGAATTCTGAAAAATCTTTGTCACAGTCCGCGGGGACCTCTAGAATGAGATGAGCTGAGACAGAGATGCTGGAGTCAAGGAGGAGCAAACCTCAAGACACGTAGCGATGGCTGCCCTCGCTGATTTCACCCCTTTTTCCAGCCTCACATCAGCCTTGCAGATGGAGCTCCTAAGACATGACACTTTATTTTCTCTTTTTGGCACCAGTCACCACAGTCTCACTCCATAGAAAGACCTCTAACCACCTTACTTGCCTCCATCCAGACTGCACCGGCTTTGTCAGGTTTCCGTGTCTCCACATGCACACCCGTCAGGTCTCCAGTAACCACCTAAAGGGAAGGTCAGACCCATTGTACCACTTGGATTCTTGGGAAAGATTCCCTCTCTCACCCACAGTGGGCCTGATGCAACTCTCCAGGAGAAGTCATCTAATACAGCTCTACCCCTCTCTCCTGTTGGGACACCTCTTCTCTCCCTTGTTCTCCTTTCTTACCCCTGTCAGAGAAAACCTGACTACCCTTCTCACCCAAATCCCCAGAGTTCTGGTCACACCAACACCCTGGCAGCCACCCTGCCTCAGGGAGCTACAGTAACCTTTCCAGAAAGACCTCCGAGACACTCTCTGACATGTTGAAGACCACAGTGAAGAGTGCCCCAACCGCCCCTGGCCTCCAAAACAATCACAAATACCCAACTCATTTTCTTAGCTTAGACATTCAAGTTGGGAAGCTCCTGGGGCTGCCGTTGGTATGATAATCAATGCAACAAAAGATCAGAGCCTAATAAGCATCCTGACACACTCCAGTTTCACTGCTTTTCTTGGAGAAAGAACCATGGTATTCTCCCTATAGATTGCTTGGCTCTGGTTGACCCTCTTCAGAGCTGGTAATTTACCTCTGGTTGCTGCCTGTCAATGCTCAGGTATTAATTATGCTCATCTATAAGTAGTTGACTGAATGAGAAGAGACAGGGGATGGGAAACAGGAGTGAATGTGATATGGTAGGGGAAACGTGAAAGAAAACAGGCCAAGTGTCCTCTTGAACTTACAAGGCACTGTGGCCCCATGAGTGCAGACCTTAGTATTCACACTGAACAAATTCCACAGCAAGTCACCAACTTCTAACATCTTCTAATCCACAAGATAAAAAAATGGGGATAATTACTAAATTGCAACACAATTATATGCCAACCGTGGTGTTTTAGAAAAGTATAATAATTAAAATGTGCCAAATTCTTGCTTATAAATCAAGCTAGTCTCTATTCTGCCCTTTCCTGACCTGTGCAACCCACCTCTCCTCTTTCTACCTGTATGGCCCGCCCAACACCTCTCATTTGCACATACATTTTCTCTCTTCTACCCCTCTACACACCATAGCTCAAATCTGGGACATCTTTAGATGAGGTGGGCTAAAACAAAGGCCAGGAAGCACTCAGTTAAACTTCTGTCTTCAGGTACTTGTTTGTCTGTTTTTTGTTCTTTTCCCTGGAAGGTTGATTCCTATCTGACCCACAGAGTGGTACCAGCCGGCCAGTAGGGAACAAAGTGCGTATTCCACTTAGCACGTTGCATTTCAAAGTCAAGTGTGCCCTGAATACTAAGCACGGCCAAAGCCCATGGCGTAAGGGAAGTCTCCTTGGACAGCAAAAAGGGAATCCCCCCCAAGAAAAACAAAGACCTTCTCACCATGAGTACCTCCTTAAGAAGATACCACCACTTCCTCCATCCTACTTCCACACCATTCAGGGTTTCCCAGCTGTTTTCATTCTGCAGACCTGTTGCTTTGTACCTGTGCAGCAAGGCAATCTGATGAAAATCACCCAGAAGGAAAGAAAAGGCAGGGACTCATTTATAGGAGGATACACTGGCTGACGTACAGGTGAGAAGTTGACCCCTGACCCAGGAGGTCTTGAGAGAAGTAAGCCTCGGCAGATTCAGAATATGGCTCTAGATGGCCTCTAGAGGGGACAGGAGGTCACTCTAGTCTTGCCAAGGCTGATTCTAAAATAAAGAGCTTTTGGCTGAACCTACCCAACACGTTCATCTGTGAGGTAGGTGGGATCAATAGAGGCAGAGTCGGCAAGACTAGAGCCACCAGCAAGTGTCCCACCTGCACATGACTTATCCAATGATAAGCAGTGCACGCAGTGCACACAGTGATGAGTTCAAGATTTAAAATTCTAATCTAAATATAGGACTTTAGGAATGAGCAAGAAAATTCATTAGTTATTCCCTTCTTGCCTATCTTGTTCTTCCCAGCACCCCTGGACACACCCAATCAAAATAATGGAGGATATATCCTTTCAGAAAAAATAACCGAGGCTCCTCAGCCAAGAAAGAAGAAGGCTAAACAAAAATTGCTTGGGGGTTCACCCTATTGTCTCCCACAGGCATTGCTAACGCAATGCGAACCTGGATACCAGTGTTCTCTGGCAAATCAGGCAGGTCTGTTTGGAATTGGCCAGGAAAGAAAGCCAACTTGAACTTGAAGTGGCACTACAAGTGCCACTTCTTTGAAGCTGTGTGGCCCTCGTCAGCACTCTTCGAGAGCCACAGCTCAGACATCGGTATCACTGCTGTGCAGAAAGCAGCCCCTCTTACACAGTCTTTGTCTCCTAGGCCCAAACACATTTCCCCCTCACCGCCCTGGCCAGGTCTCCATCCTATTACCCTCAAATGGCCTCACCTTCCCTGATGCCCTCCAACTAGCTGTTCACTTAAGACCCCTAAAGTAATTATTAAACTGACTCTTGGTTTTCTTCAGTGGTCTGGGGCTAACACTATAAAATGAAACAGAAGCACCACCTCCTTGGTGCCTGACCCAAAGCAGTCCCAGGTTGCCAGCCAATTTTATTGGCAACTAAAGTCTTAGAGGTGAGTTGAAGATGGAATGTTCAAAAGTCCAGTGCCTCAGTGGATGGATATCCATCCATGGATGGATAAATTTGTTATGTGTAAGCTAAAGAGTACTATGGATATAAAGATATCCATCCATGGATAGATATTCATCCATGGATGGATAAATTTGTTGTGTAAGCTAAAGAGTACTATAGGAGTAAAACATGAATAACAGAGAGCTGCTTTTGTGTATTGCTTTCAAAGCGCCGTAAGTTTGACTAAGTGTCTTAAGGCACGGATTCTCTGTTTTCCCCAGTCTAGCTCTCCTACAGCAATCACGAACCTCTCAAGACTAAGGACCATGTCTTACTCATCTTCCTATCCCTGGCCTGATGGTGTTGGTAGCTCTCCGCAGTTGTGCAGTGATTTTTGAATGAATGAAACTGCTTACCTTTTGCTTCCTGTCCCCAGCCCCTACCCTCCCTGGCCCTCCTCAGGTCCTGACAGCTGAGTTATCTG